CCGTCCTTCGGATGAGATGTTAAACTGAGGTTCTGACTCTCTGTGGTCATTAAAAATCCCATGGCACTTCTGGTAAAGAGTAGGGATGAATCTACATTCGCTCCAGAAGTCTGAGATCCGCTAGTGAGCGACGCCTCGTGGTACCATCACAGAGAGGCACAAAATCACTTTACAGAACATTTTCGTTCACTGTTCCTGGCTGGTGGAATGATGTTCCCACCCCAATCCGGAATGCTGATTCCCTGACAATCTTCAAGCGACAGCTGAAAACTCATCTCTTTTAACACTATTTGACTTCATCTTAAAAAAAACAAAAAAAAAACAGTCTTTCTCTTTATTTATTCTTTCCCTTTCTAGCTTGTACTTGTTTGAAACAATGCCTGAAACTTTGTATTACGAGCACTTCCTGTGTCTGTTTGCCTCTTTAAGATTAATCGCTTTATGTATTCCCCAATTGTAAGTCGCTTTGGATAAAAGCGTCTGCAAAGCCACTGGTGCCGTTGTCCTGTGGCTGCCGTCGCATCATCCAGGTGGATGCTGCAAACTGGTGGTTGTTGTGGTTGAGGAGAAACACCCCCACATGACTGTAAATCGCTTTGAGTGTACAGCAATACACAATAAAGTGCTATATAAATGCATCATTCACTGGTCACTGGAGTTCCACAGGGAACGTGTCTGTTTGCCTCTTTAAGATTAATCGCTTTATGTATTCCCCAATTGTAAGTCGCTTTGGATAAAAGCGTCTGCAAAGCGACTAAATGTAAATGTAAATTTGCTTCTGTCTGTGCCCTGTCTACTCCCCCGTCACAGCATGCCACATTGGGTTGTGTGAAAAATTTTACACACAAGGTTAACATTTCTGACTCTGTGCCTCCTGTCAGATGCAAATTACGTCGCTTACCTTTCTCTGTGAGAGATGCCGTTTCCACAGAATTAGCGCTGCTCTTGGATGCCGGTGCCAATTTGAAAAAATGTGTCTCTAATTGTTGTGGTCCAAAAGAAAACGGGGGGATCCGCATGTGTTTGGATCTGCGAGGGCCCAACAAGGCAGTTATAGTGGATAGCTACCCCTTACCACACATGGAAGAGATTATGATATTACTGCAGGCAGCAACATTCTTTTCAACCATTGACTTAGAATGTGCATACCACCAAGTACCTCTTCACGAAGACAGCTGGGATCTCACAGCATTCATTACACACGAGGGGCTCTTCAGGTTCAAAAGAGTGCCATATAGTTTGGCATCAGCTCCTTCTGCATTTCAGAAAATGATGGCCATTATTTTGAAAGGACTCCAGAATGTTGCAAACTATCTAGATGACATTATTGTCTGGCGACGTATATTACGGTAGCATGATCAAGAGCTAAAGAATGTGCTGCAACGTCTCAAGGATAATGGATTGCTGCTAAATGAGTCTAAGTGCTAATTCAGAAAGCAGAGTAAAAAATTTCTGGGACTCATTGTGACTGCACAGGGTATTCAGTTGGATCAGGAACATCTTTCCGCAATACTCGATGCACCTGCATCATAGGATGCTGTTCAGTTGCATTCACCACTGGGACTCCTTTCATGGTATAATAAATTAATTCCCAACTTCTCTGCGTGCATGTCTGAAGGCTGAGAGTGGATTTTGCTGGTCCGGTGAAGTGCAACACAGCTTAGCAGAGGTTAAAAAGCTACTTGTACACAGTCCTGCCCTTGCGCTATTTGACCCGGGGCTGCCAGTAGTCATTTCCACTGATGCATCTGCTTACGGACTGGGTGCTGTGTTCTCACAATTATGCCCTGATGGACAAGAATGTACTGTTGCTTTCGCATCCAGGACGCTCTCACCAGCCGAACAGAAATACTCCATTGTTGAAAAGGAGGATCTAGCGTGCGTGTGGGTGGTTGAAAAGTGGAGGACATACTTGTGGGGCCGCAGATTTACTTTACGGACTGACCATCAAGCCTTAACCATGCTGCTGACCGCAAAAGGGACTGACCGAGCTGGTATGCGCATAGCTCGGTGGGCTGCTCGTTTACTCTGTTTTGACTACACAGTTCATTACCATGCTGGATCTGAAAACCACACAGCAGATTGTTTGTCCCGCCTGCTCCTGCCTCTTACTTCAGATGCAACACCAGATGCCTAACCTGAATGTGTTGCTTTGGTGTCCACTGGTCTCACTGCCATATCTAAGGATGAATTTGCTGCTACCTCTGCTCACTGCCCTGAGCTCTCTGCACTGCGGACACAAATTGCTCGTGGCTGGCCTCCACCTCCTTCTGCACTGGATCCTGTTGTACATCCATACCACAAACTAAGACATGAGCTCAGTGTGCAAGCTGATTTTGTGTTTAGAGGTACTATTGGTGGCCCAAAATGGACACATTTGTGGCAGACAAAATTTCTGCCTGTCAGCTGTGCCTTTCCTTGGATAAGACTGCTAAACTTCTGCTGTACTACTGCGGCCTGTTCCCTTGCCTTCTGCACCCTGGGAAAAACTGGCAATCAACATCGTCAGCCCTTTTGAGACTGCTGTCTGGGACTGTCGATATGCTCTTACACTCACTGACTATTACAGTAAATGGCCCGAAGTAGCCTTTACTGCATCTGTTGTAACAAAACAGGTGACTTCGTTTCTTACCTCTGTCTTCAGTAGACACTGCAACCCAACAACTATTGTGAGTGACAATGGCCCTAAGTTAACTTTGTAATGTTATTAGTGAAAGTGCAGTTCTGAATGTGCATGCGTGGTATGCATGAAGACTTACGACTGATAAATGGCAACATGCCAAGTGCGCTGGTTATGCAAATAGCGATTCAGTAAACGTAAGATTTGATTCAACTTTACACCATGCGTGTCCGTGTCTCCTTGATAGAAACAGAACATCACTCACTTCGTCAGAGTTTGCTGCTTTCCTGAAAGAGAGAGACATTAAGCACATTGGTACAGCGGTTTATCATCTTGCTGCAAGCGGAGCGATTGAACGCTTCCACAGAGTGCTTAAGAGTACAATTCAAACAGCAATTCTCCAGTCAGCACCATGGAAAGCAACAGTTACTGATTTCCTGCAGATTTACCGAGCCACACCACATGCTATCACTGGTGTGTCCCACCCTGAATTACTTCATGTCCGGAAAATGTGTACCCGCCTTAATGTTCTGAGACCTCCACCTTCTGCCCTTGATCCTACGCAAATACAGAAGCGTGTTTTGGCACGGCAAGATCTCATGAAAGCTGGTGCATGTACCAAAAGCTCATCCAAAATTCACTTCTCCAGTGGAGGTGAAAGAAAAGGCTGGATCCTACACCTACCTCTTGGACGATGCATCATGTCTCGCTTCCATGCCAGATAATGCACTGGATAATGGTCATGCCACCAAAGCTGAAAACTTGCATCCTTCTCATGGTTGCTTGTCTGGAAGCTCTGGGCCTTCTAAGGCTGGTCCGCTGGAGAAACGTCACAGTAGAAAGCCAGATTTGCTGAAAGACTATGTCTCTTAAACACAGACTTTTTCAACATATACATTCGCGTGAATATTCAAGTACTGTTATACTGTCCTTACTGGTTATTTGAAATGTGAACATTCAAGCACTGTTATAATGTCATTATTGGTTATTTAAAATGTTCTTACAATCATTTATTGTGCTCTTTAGTGTATGAGGTGGGAATAACACTTGTGATGCGGTTTATTTCTATTTTGTGAAAACTGTTATAGACGGAATTCATTTAAGTAAGAGGAAAACGTGATATTGTTACAATAATTCACCACTAGAGGGCACTCATGACACACAGTGAGTTGGTGTTTAGACGAGGAGAGATTTTAGAGTGTGCATCATTGCTGTGCATGTGCATCTGTTCCAGTGCTGTTTACGGACTACTATTAAAAGTTATGTAAGGATTATGCTTGTGTAATTTCGTCTACATAAGACATAACATACTACTTAAGGCGTAATTCTGAAGTGTGCATGATTTACACTTTACTATCCCATGAGGCTACAGGAGAGGATTTATGAATGGCAGTGATGTGATGCAACTGATGCTGGTAGGTGACGTGACAAAGACAGCATGGCAAATGTAGTACATCCGGATTACATGCATACTATATAGAACATGCTCTTTTTTTTTTTTTTTTTTGCAGTCGCAAAGTAATTAATAATTCAGTATGCAATTTTGGATGCAGCCACAGTCACATGCCTCATTTCTAAATGAATCAGCTGTTTTGAACAAATCGTCTGAATGAATGATTCAATAAATCACTTTTTAATTATAGTTATTTTTTTAATCTACGTTGTGAGGACCAAATGTCCCCACAGAGAAAACTTTTTGACATTGTGGGGCCATTTCGTCAGGTTATAAATCACAGTTCATTTAATAATTTTTTATTATTATTTTTTTAATAAATAAAATAAAAATGTGATTAAAAATTAGAATTTTTTTTTTTATTATTGTGGTAAGGTTAGCCAGGACCCCCACCCCACTGAAGAAGTACTTGGCCAGACCATCCCCCTTGAGAGAGAGAGAGAGAGAGAGAGAGAGAGAGAGAGAACAGTTGATAAGTTCATCCTCTTCCAGTCCTCAGCCGCTCCTGTCTTCATTCTGCTCGCTCAGGATTCACTGACTGTCTCCAGAGGTAGCTAACAATACCTTTCCTTTTTATTTTGTTTGCTTTATTGATTTTATTTTTTACTATGTACTGTAGTATGAGTCAAACTTGTTGCTTTTAGTCATACCATTGTTTAATTTGAAATTAAAACTAAATTGTTATTCTAATAAAATAAAGAAAGTTGCATTCAAATGGAAAGCTTGCATGTATGCAACAAAAAGTGTTGTGACAGATAAAAGAAAAACAGTGCATAAATAAAAAAGTAATGATAATAATTAAGCTATGCATATTATTTAGCATATTTCCTTTTCCTATGTCAATATGTGAAAGTGTTATTCTTAAATTATTACAGCGACAGAACTAATTGTTGTAGTGCTGCTGTGATTTGTGTGGGTCAGTGTAAGATGGCCATTCATGTGGAAGGACTGCTGGCCATCGTCATCTTCTACCTGCTGATTTTAGTCGTGGGAATCTGGGCAGCGTGGAAGAACAAAAACTCCGGGATCTCGCAGGGAACAGACCGCAGTGAGTCCATCATGGTCGGCGGCCGAGACATCGGTCTGTTTGTAGGCGGATTTACCATGACAGGTGAGTCTCGCTCATCTCACTCTTAGGCACTTATTACTGCATTTGTGAGATGCAAATATGAATACTGTTTTGTTGTTGACAGTAAGAATTAGTGTATTATAAACTTTTGTTTATCTATTTATTTATTATTTCATGCATGATGGTTGATAAGAAGGATATTTCCTGAGTTAGTGTCTTGTTTTGAAGCGAGTAATACTTCTACACATTTTTTGTCTTTTTATTTTAATCTTGTTTTTGGAAGAAAAGACTGGGTTTTTTCCTTCTGAGAAATTATTTTTCTTCTTTCTTTTGTCTACCCAATAGGCTCATTAGAAATAAAGGTATTCAAGAAATTGTTCTGTTTAGTTAATGGGAATATTAAAACTAAATGGAATAAACAAGAAGTAAATATAGTGTGTCTGCTAAAGAACACACACTTGCCTACAGCCATGAAGCACTTTCCTCCTCACTGTATTCACACACATACATGCATTAAATCAGGTTGAACACAGGCACACAGTGAGCTCTTGTCACTGTATGTCTTCACGATTCGTTCTTTGATCGCAGCCACGTGGGTCGGAGGAGGCTACATCAACGGCACCGCAGAGTCCGTGTATCTGCCCGGATCCGGCCTGGCTTGGGCTCAGGCGCCATTCGGTTACGCACTCAGTTTAGTAGTAGGTGAGATGATATTATGCTAATGATCCAGGGATTTGAAATCAGTGTATTTCCACTTTAAATGAAAACGAGAGGTTTGTGGCTTTTAGTCCATGCCTGTTATCTTTGAATGCGAATGTCTCTCAACACAATCACAAAATACCAAGTCATGGCTGTTACAAATACTAAAGGCCGTTGTCTGTAAAATAAAGAGACCCGATGCACAGGGTCTTTAAAATACAATGCCTCATGTTCTGAGAGCTAATGTTTACCATGCATACCATCTTATCCCTTAGTATGTAGTATGTGGTCAGTTTGACAGTGTGCTCTATTTGGTCCAGGTGGGTTGTTCTTTGCGAAGCCCATGCGCTCTCGAGGCTACGTGACGATGCTCGACCCGTTCCAGCAGCTCTATGGCAAGAGAATGGGAGGCCTGCTCTTCATACCTGCTTTACTGGGAGAGATCTTCTGGTCAGCCGCCATTTTGTCAGCCTTGGGTATGAAAATAAACTACATTTAACACGTGTAAAGCTTCATAGACACGTCAGTGTTGTCTGAACGCAGAATAAAAGCCTCGCTGTCGTCTGCACAGGAGCAACACTGAGCGTGATAGTAGACATCAACATCAGCATGTCAGTGGTGATTTCAGCCTTGATTGCCATCTTCTACACGCTGGTCGGGGGACTGTACTCAGTGGCGTACACAGATGTCGTCCAGCTCTTCTGCATTTTCATAGGTTTGGTGAGTCTTCTCTACACACATCTACATGTCGGCAGAATGTCTTATTTCCAGGTATGCGGGTTAGATGTCCCTGCATGCAAGTGTTGTAATGCAGCTAAATAACCATTAAAGCAAAGTCACTGAAGCCCACATGTGTTCCAGAGAAGCCACACATTTGACTAAATAATGAAACTGGATAGAATTTAACTGCTGAGCCTAAGCTTTTGGTCTGCGCGTTTCTCCCTAACCTGATCATGGCCCCGGTGTCCTCTGACTCAGTAACAAACATCTGCATTTACTCTGCAACAAATAATTTATCTCATGCTTTCTGCCTCTTTCATATTTAGAAAATAATAAAACAAGTGGCCTTATGTGATTGGTGGGTTTATTAGCGAATGAAAGGCATGCAACTGCTAGCTACAAATATCTAAAATCAGGTTTTATCATTTCCACTCCATCTTTAACATGTCACAATACTGATTGCCCCACTGTTTATTTTGACCTAGCTTGTGTTGTTAAAGAGTTGGCATTGAGTTAATAGCAGCTGGATGTCATTGAAAATGTCAGTATATATCCGTGTGATTTTTCCCCGTGTCTATATTTAGTGGATAAGCGTGCCGTTTGCCCTGTCCCATCCCGCTGTGTCAGACATCGGCATCACCGCAGTAAACACAGTGTTTCAGTCGCCGTGGCTGGGAGAGATCGATCCTTCTGATGGCTGGATGTGGGCTGATAACTTCTGTCTTCTTGTGAGTCAGTGCAGAAACACACTCGCCACATAAAGCAAAGCCCACACTGAAATCAGTGATATTTTATTTCAATACATCGAAACATTAATGCAAAAATGTATGGAGAAATCTGGTTTAGGAAAACACCACAAAGGTCTGCATCTTATTGTAGGATTTGTACTACTGTATGGTCTGGAGATGCATTGTGTTCTGTTAACTCAAGAAACAGCTCCACACTCGTTGTGGCCCCCTAGCACAGTGGTTAAATCTACTGTAGACAGAGCTGCTGTGCAGAAAACCGATCTACACATACTGTATTCATATGTTACGTTAGGTTCAGGGTTAGTGGACTCCTGCCTCATCGAATTCTGCTGTTTAAAGGGGATGGTCTAGTTTTGACTGTGTTTGTGTGTGTGTGTGTGTGTGTGTGCAGATGCTGGGTGGGATCCCGTGGCAGGTGTATTTCCAGCGGGTTCTCTCCGCCTCCTCGGCCAGCTATGCTCAGGTGCTGTCCTTCCTGGCTGCGTTCGGCTGTCTGGTCATGGCCGTGCCGTCGGTCCTGATCGGCGCGATAGGAGCCTCCACAGGTAACACGCATGTTTGGAGATGCAGCAGAATCTTCCTGAAGATACGGCTGTGTTTCCCACATCTCTGTAGTGAGATGGATCTGAGATCAGCTGCCAGCGACGGGGGATTTCACCGCTGATGACTCCAGATGGCTGCTGTCATTCATGTTTGAGGAGTCGTGCGTTTAGCTGATTACGGCCGTATCTACAGGGGCTTCATTAAAGCTGTGAATCAGAGTCTCAGCTAATCAGCAGATGTTTACTGTTCAGCCCAAATGAATAAAGACTGATTTACAAAACACATAATAAATCAGTTATTACATACTTCACAGTTAAATCAGGCACATTATTTCAAGAATGTTTATTTTCCATTACAGAAGATTATATTGCATGTAGCTATATGTGACCCTGGAGCACAAAAGCAGTCTTAAGTCGCTGGGGTATATTTGTAGCAATAGCCAACAATACATTGTATGGGTCAAAATTATACATTTCTCTTTTATGCCAAAAATCATTAGGATATTAAGTAAAGATCATGTTCCATGAAGATATTTTGTAAATTTCCTACCGTAAATATATCAAAACTTAATTTTTGATTAGTAATATGCATTGCTAAGAACTTCATTTGAACAACTTTAAAGATGATTTTCTCAATATTTAGATTTTTTTGCACCCTCAGATTTTCAAATAGTTGTATCTCGGCCAAATATTGTCCGATCCTAACAAAACATACATCAATGGAAAGATTATTTATTCAGCTTTCAATTTAAAAAAATGTACCCTTATGACTGGTTTTGTGGTCCAGGGTCACATATGTGAAATAACATGCATTTCATACTTTATATAATATTTCTGCTTCGCACATTACAAATGATACTCGCATGATGAACACGATGTGTGTGTGTGTGTTGAGACTGGAATCAGACGTCGTATGGTCCGGTTCCTCCGGTGGAGAAGGACGAGTCGGACATGATCCTGCCCATCGTCCTGCAGCATCTCTGCCCTCCGTTCATCTCTTTCTTTGGTTTGGGGGCGGTGTCGGCCGCTGTGATGTCCTCCGCAGACTCCTCTATCCTCTCAGCCAGCTCCATGTTCGCACGAAATATTTACCAGCTTGCTTTTCGGCAGTCGGTAAGTTCTTCATACTATCAATCCACTTGTGACCACAGTGTCTCTCATTCGTTGATGAACTCGTATGGCATTTCTGTGTAAAACACAACTTAAGCAACCTAAAAAAAAACACAGACTCCTGTCATTAGAAACAATGTTTTTTTAACAATATTATTACAAATTCTCCTCCACCACAGGAGACCTGATTCAAATTCATTTTTCCATTTTCTTTTGGATCGTAGCAGAAAATAAGCTCGGTGACCAACAAAAGTTTATGATTCTTACATGTTTTTTTCATTGTGATGATCTCAACAAATTAACACAACTCTTCGAAATTTTGAAATCAGCAGAAGTAAAAAGCTAAATGTAGGCTATAAACAAACTACATCACGGTCACATGACCTCAGCATTCACCACCATTAAAGGGGACATAACACACACAATTTCGGCCAATCTCATGTTAATCTTGAGTACCTATAGAGTAGTATTGCATCCTTCATATCTCCCAAGAGTCTTTAGTTTTATCAGATTTATAAAAGAGCTTTACGCTTCTCTCCGAAAACAGCCGAGCTCCTTGAGGAGCTAAAGAGTCACGGGCTGATTGGCAACAAAACACAGAAATTTGCTGCAGTTTTATTCACCGCCTGCGGTTCCGACTCATGACCGGGATCTTTTATCGCTGGGACCGCTCCATCTTTCAGTATCAAACGATCTGTAAATCCACCGTCGAACTGGGCCTTGTTTATAAAACATTCGTCACATAACTCCGAATGCATGAAATAGCATTAGACCCCCCCTTTAAGCTTCAACAACTCTTTCAGTCTGTATTTCAAAACATTTTCTCTGAATGTTTGAGTTACAGTAGTTTGCAGAAGTGCGATTATTAGACTAGTGAGTAGTTGAGTTACCCGTTCGATGTGATGATGTTTAATGTCCCAACAACCTCTGTAGTGCCATTTAGACACTTGTTAGCAACTGCGTTTTTCTAGAAAAAAAATCACAAAGGGGTATTACTTATGGATAATAAAACATGAAAATAGTCTAAACTTGTGTTCACCACAGACCTTATTTTAGGCATTTAACAGAAAAAACATTTGAAAAACCCATCGACTTCAGGACAATGGAACCAGACGTGCTAGAACCTGTTTCTGGGTTTTGGCCCACATAAATTCTTCATCCCTGCAGCACTGTCATGCTGTAGTGTTATAATGTCTTCATTGAACACTTAACAAGATTGGAGCCAGACCTGGTTGTGAGTTTGTCCAAATAGTTTATTTATTATTGTGTGGCCCAGATAACATCAATGGACTTTCGTTTCATTTTTTTATATTTTGAAGAAAGATAACAAAAACTTGTTTTAAATTAAGAATAATGTGCACTGATGGAAAAAGGTAAATCAAGTCCATTGTGATGTGATGTTTTGAGTTATTAGATTTACTACAAATGTCGTGCAGCCGCATGAAACCACTGCTTTAACGTGTGGCTCCACAGGCGTCGGACCGCGAGATCGTGTGGGTGATGAGGATCACCATCTTTGTGTTTGGAGCGCTAGCGACCGCCATGGCCCTCCTGACGGGCTCCGTTTATGGCCTGTGGTACCTGAGCTCAGACCTGGTGTACGTCATCATCTTCCCTCAGCTCCTCTGCGTGCTGTTCATCAAGGGCACCAACACCTATGGCTCGGTGGCCGGCTACGTCTCGGGGAGGGTGGGGGGGGGGGAGCCATACCTCAGGCTTCCCCCGTTCATCTACTACCCCGGCTGGCAGATGCGCCAGAAGGAGCAACGTCTCACGCGGGAGGTGGAGCGCTTCGTAGAGCAGAGGTTCCCTTATAAGACGGTCTCCATGCTGGCTTCACTACTGAGCAACGCTGCCTTCTCATATGCGGCCAAATATCTGTTTGAGAGCGGCACGCTCTCGCCCAAGTATGACTTTCTGGACGCAGTGGTTTCCAGACACAGCAAAGAAACGATGGACAAGACCACGCTCGTCGCCCACGACAATATCATCCTGTCAGAGCTGGCTGCTGTTAAGGGAACGTTCGTGAACACAGACGTCCTGACTGACGAGGGCAACGTGAGCCCGGACTCCAGCGCTGAGCACCAGTAGAGAGACAGGAACGATTACATACTGAAGATGAAATGAGCAAGCTGCACCCTGGAAGAGGGTGACAGCAGGCCAAACAGGGAAAACTGTGCAATACTAATGGAGGGGGAACAAGTAGTGCAATTACTATTGACCTGACCTGACGTGATTGATGGTATGTATGAAACAAGCTTACTGCTTAGAATATAACTGTTATAGAGCAATATGTTTTTAAAAGTATCTGTTACTGTCTGTAATCCATATCATTCTTGAAGACAATGGTTCGCCCAAAAACGAACATGCTGTCTTTACTTACACAGCCTCAGGTCTGGTATTTGAAAGCAAACAGACTGTTAAGCTCCAAAGATGATAGAAAAGTACTCCTCGTGGCACATGCACTATATTCCAAGTTGGTCCTGCTTAATAGTAGCATTAGCATTTACATTTGATCCAGTGTGGTTTTTGTTTACATGCATGCTGTTCTGCAAAACTCTTGCCAGATTGGCATTTGCTGCTATTGAGTTTGGGATACGGATGGAGTCGGCTGTAGGTTTAGGGTCCAGTCAGCTGTGTAATTCATTGCATGCAGGTACTTCAAATTTAAGTATAATGCAAATCGCATATTTATACAGCAAGTATATTGTGTTTTGTATATTTTTATGTAAGTTGATGTAGACACCTAATATAAAGTGGGTTCTCCATGTCTTCTGAAGTCACTAATGCCATTCATGTTCAAACTTGCTGCAGATATCGCAAGACCATGCTACTACTTGTGTGATTTTTATCATTATAATGAGTTATGTGATTTTAGTGCAAAAGGTGGAGACAAAAAATCTGGTTGGCTCTGTGGAGTATATTAAAATCGTGTAATGAACACCTAGCCGTGCATTATACTGCTTATATAATGGTCACTTGCCAGCACTGGCAACTTAAAGCTGTCAATGATGTTTGCAGTGCAAAATTTGACCAGAAAGGTAAAAATGATGGTTACTTTTCATGATAGAGATCCACGTCATTAGAATGATTTATTATCGTCACGTTTAAAGCATCTGCATCAGTGCTGCGTCTCTGTAGTGAAGCTGCGAGAATTACCTCAAAAAAAGCAATGTTACCACCTTATTGCTGAGAACGTCATGTAAAATCTTTAGAAAAATCTTTTCAGTAGCAAAGCTCCTTCATTGATAGAATCACGTTGGTAGTGTTGATGGTATGCATATACATAAAACTAATGAAAGAGTTGATTTATGTGCAGTAATCTGCCTCATGTTCTGCATGGGCCAAGCTGATTGGTGCTCTGCCTGTAATCCATCAGCCAATGAACTTGATTTAAATAGTCTTTCTTCAGTGTTTGCTGCAGATGCGGCCTGCCATCAGGAATCCCTCTCTAATGTGCTGAGAATATTAGCGACTGATGCTTTAGCAATGTTTTATTAAGCTTGAACCTGCATTGAACTAGGTAAACTCTAGCCAAACCAGCTCAGATGTTCACAGTAGGTGATTAGTTTGAATAAACCTGCCTGTATGTCAGCCCAGTAACACATAACTAGGTTATATATAATTATATGTAATATATCTAGTGTTCGCTTAGTGGTCTCAGAGTGCAGCATACACACCCATCTTAAAGATGTCTATATATTTCTTATCCTGCACAAATTGACCATAAAGATTATAAACGTCCACAGTGACAATTAATATGCAGACACATCTCCTAAAAACCAATCACACCGGCTCATTTCAGGTCATTATACCGGCTATCAGTCAGTGATGCCTGTTGTTGTTTGGGGATATTAATACAGCCGCCGGGACGCTTGCAGTGGAATCCATCAGCAGTCCGGTCATATAGAGATCAGTGCTCAGGACAGATATTTCAGCTGCAGGCTGGACCGGGAACAAATACAGCTGGTAAACTTGAGCAGCAGCCGAACACATGCCTCAGTGGTTGAAGCGCATTGTCGGGGCTTCGTGTTTTGTGTTTGTCGAGTGGATATATGTCTGTGTTTGTGTCTCAGCAGTAGCAAGTCTCTGTTCTTGTCTAGTCTAGCAACACCAGGTCTACTAACTCCATCATAAATGTTCACACCAAGAGTTGTCACGACTGAACTGTGTGTACAGGAAATATAAAGTTACAATTCTCAATATTTAAAGTCATTCTTTAACCTGTTTTAAGTGCTTACAGATGAATCAGACAATGACAGAATTATCAGTGGTTTGTCCCGTATGACATCAGAACATTTGAATGCTCCTCCTGGCACCAGAAGTGTTGCTGCTTGGTGCAAAGAAGTGTTTGACATGAGCCGGCACAACACTATCAGAGGTGTTTACATGCTATGCAAAGTCTATGTGCTTGAGGTGTGGGTACACGCACAAATGATTTTGGAGCTTTTAGTCTTTATAGTAGTTTTTAGGACATCGATTATTGACTTTTATGATGTTTGTTTCATGTATGTTTCTGCAGTTTCTCTTTTCTGAGAAAATGGACTCATTTCAAAAGCACAGATTTCTGTCTAATCAGATGCTCTCTTGAATATCTCTCCTCTGTACTTGCTTACATCATTCATAGCTGATGTGGCTAAAGCCTATTGGCAGACTAGCCCTTCAGTGCAGTATATACCTCTCAAACACACATAATGCTTCAATGCACATCAAATGTGAAACAAACAGTACGTATATTGACTTGTAAAGACACTATCTATCTATATAATGTCTAATCAGTGTTTTCATCTGCTGCAGTAATGTCTTTGAATCTTCACGTAGGGGCTTTTCCCATCAAATATTGATATGGCATAATAAATATAATTAATTTTATTGAAGTCAAACGGCTCTAGACATTAGGAATAGAATCGTATTGTCCATTGGATGGTGATGTGGGATATGTTTTAAAGTGTGTTAAATTGCCTTGATTTTCTTAGTTTGACAGCCTAACCTGATGTCATTTCATGCCTCTGTGTCAGGAGATCTGTTGTCTTGAATGTGAGTGAATATATATTCATAATGTCATACAGTGTGCAGCTCTGGTGAACGTGAGCAAAACAGACTGTGGAAACGTGTTTTAAATGAAAAAGTGTCTTTCATTCAAAATAATCCAATATAACCCTCAATTAAATCATCTTTTTACATTGCAGTTTTTGTTCTATAATTATTTTCTGGCATTATATAATAATTATATAATGAATTCAATCAAATTTTATATTTTTGCAAATATTCTCAATGAAAGACTAAGAAGATAAACTTTTTTACAGCATATTTTGCTCATATTTACCAAGGGTGCCAAGTGTGTGTGTGTGTGTGTGTGTGTGTGTGATTGAGAGAGAGAGAGATTTCCAGTACAACTGTGTATGAAGGACATATTTCAGTGACCTAGTAGTGATTTGTTGTATTTATACATTTACCTGTTTATCTGTTGTTGTAAACAAATATATTTTTGTGTGGTATTTCTGCTATATCTAGCATAGCTGCATCAGAAGATCAGAGATGTAATTTTGACAACCAGTTCTGGAGGAAATATTTATCTACTTATTTATTTAATAATAATGTGAAGAATGTGGTATTAAATTATGTTGTTTGGCATTACTGGCTATGTGTTTATTGAAAACAATTTACTACATAATGCATAATACTACACTGAACAAAATTATAAACGCAACACTTAATTCACGGGCAACAGCTCTGGTGGACATTCCTGCAGTCAGCATGCCAATTGCACTCTCCCTCAAAACTTGTGACATCTGTGGCATTGTGCTGTGTGATAAAACTGCACATTTTAGAGTGGCCTTTTATCGTGGCCAGCCTAAGGCACACCTGTGCAATAATCATGCTGTCTAATCAGCATCTTGATATGCCACACCTGTGAGGTGGATGGATTATCTCGGCAAAGGAGAAGTGCTCACTAACACAGATTTAGACAGATTTGTGAACAATATTTGAGAGAAATAGGCCTTTTGTGTACATAGAAAAAGTCTTAGATCTTTGAGTTCAGCTCATGAAAAATGGGGGCAAAAACAAAAGTGTTGCGTTTATAATTTTGTTCAGTGTAGATCCAAAGCTGCCAAAGATATTTTATAGTAGTATCCGGTAAAATGCCAATTGTTCAGCTTTTTTCAATTGCATTAGACGGTTTAAAATTATTTAATAATGAATGAATGAAGTTTCTGAAGTGCAGCTAACCAGTATATTTATAAAGTTGGTGCTTTAGGTGACACAGCAGGGGAAGAGACTGAATTACTGATGGTGTAGAAACAGTACTTCACAATTAAGAGCTTTATTAAAACTATGAAGTACAAACAAAACATCTGTGACATCTGTGTTTATCCTGATGTTTTTAGTTGCTTTTAAGGGAAAGAACACAATAGTATGTGCAAGATATGCAGATTTGTGTGGAAGAAACTTAAGAATCAGAATATGACTGCTGCTGAGTTTTCACAGTATGTACTGTTGTTTTTCACTCTGATATTATCTATCCATCCAACACTGGAGCACTCTAATGATAATATGGTGAATGGACAATACTTCTGGAGAGATGTAGATAAAAATATCCTTGTGCCGCACTGATGAGGCTGTATGAGTACATCACACAAAACACAGTTCTATTGATCCAATCAGGAAATATTTATAACATGCTACATCTACAGCTATAGCACAATGGTTTCTCTGCTGGATCCATATTGTTTTTAAGTCTGGTTCATAGGCAGGTGAAACTTCATTAAATAATATCAGTAACAACCAAAATAAACAAAACATGCAAAAACCAGGAGAGCAGGCATCAGAGCTGACGAACACTGATGAAACAGTCACAATGAACAACACCAGACACTGAACAAGGGAAACTCTGGGGCTGATAGGCAAACAAATAAACACCTGGGGGCAACAAGAGGGCAAATAAACAGAAACTACAAACCACACCAGACAGGAAGGAACTTAAAAGTCTTTACACAAGACAGGTAACATATCAGCACTCCACAGCTGCCGCGTTAGTCCATGTCCTGCAAACATAAACCACAAACCTGCCAAATCTGCCTCGCAAATTTTCACACGACGGATGACTTTACCAGTATCTAGTGTTGATTAAAGTCTGTTGCTGTACTATCAATAAGCTCACTCTAGAGCGGACTTCAAGTGAATGAGAGCAAACTGCTTAGCTGTCAGTTTAGTCTGAACTCTGAGAGCTCAGCGCCACTTTTTATTGCAGTGCATTCCCTCAGCTTTGTGTAGTTCTTTTAAACCAGATCAGTTAACATCATGACACAATGGTTGATTATGGGAATAGACGTGTTAAATGGTTTTCACCATGCTATATTGTAAGAAATCTTTTTCTTACAATTGTCTGTTTCTGCTAGTCATAGCATGTAGCACTGAGATCTTCCAAACTGTTAAACTGGTGGCATTATCACAACAGAGTTCAAGCTCACTATGCACTTTATATGCAACCAAGTCTCGTCCTGAGGAGCAAAAGACTTTAAAAGCAGAACGCTTTAATACACAACCACTGACCCAGAAACCCTGTGTCTTGTTTTAAAGCCTCAAACAAAGGCAGAGGTGGAACTGAAAGGCAGATTCTGATGAGAAATACATTTGCTGTAATGCTTCAGATGTTTCGAGATAAAAAGCCTGAAACAGCTCTAAGTGCTCCTCTA